AGAGAGAATAGTCTTATAATCTAAGACATCTTTAGAGACAAATAATTGGAGACGATAAATTTTAGAAAATTTTGTATTTGCCGAGTATATCTTCAAGTGGATTGTTGTGTGTAGACTTTTTCACTGCAATATTTAGTTTTAAATATTATTTATACTAGTTTTGAAACCTATTTATTAAAATAATAAGATTATTTTACGTGAAGATATTTTCATAGATGCGATTTTTTATTTTTTTGAATTATAAAGGGAGGCAAAGCCTAGAACTAGTTAGCTACAGAGCGTTAGTAGTGAGGGCTGGATATGTCCCTATATAGCAGCTCGAGAACATCATGAGGGGATCTTGGTAGGTGACTAGGTGAAACTCTGGATTTTCGGCGAGTTTAGCCATTGCATTTACGGTTATGTTGCCTTCGCGGCCGATCCATGTGAATTTCGCTAACGGAGCTTAGAGATGATCAGATCAATGGGTGAGGTACAGGAGCCAACTGAATCATTCAATAGATGAATTGCTTGGGCATCATCATATTGAATCTGAATTAATTCAAAGCCTTGGGATCAAGCGAGTTGCATCCCGAAGTAGATGCCCCATAATTCGGCTTGGAGGGGGGTTGCAAAGCCAACGAACTTGTGGAAGGCGAGCAGCCATGAACCATCCGACGAACGGAGAACTCCACCTATTGTTCCCAGGCCAAAACTGTATTAACTGAGACATCTGTGTTGATACAAGACCACCCCATGAGGGGGAGACCATGTTATAGCCATCGATTTCTGCCGAGAGGACCGTGGAGAAGGTAAGCTCTCACCAGTATAGTGCTTAGCGCAGCTAAACTAATGCTGAAGATCGCTTCCATGGAGGAACATGAGCCATTAAAGATGAAGTCATTTCTTCTTTTTTAGACCTTCCAAAGTAAAGAACCAAACAAAAAAGACCAAGGCACATTCAAATCAATAACATCAGTAGAAGAACAGAGATTACTGACCAATCAATCGTCGAGATCCCGGAGGAAGAAGGAATGAGAGCGAGAAGGATCAAGAATGGACTGCCAATCGGTTCGGATGGTTGTACAATCACGTAGAGTGTGAAGGGGGGATTCACTCGCAGCTCCACGTATATTGGGCACGATGGAGACGGGGAAATGCTCTTGCAAAAACGTTCCTGGTTCGTTATGAGACACTGTCGGGATACGAGCCAGAGAGATATATTCGTTGAGGGATCGGCAAAGGCCAAATAATCTTTCAAGCTGGATCTATAGGATTCTAACCGTCCTCAACTAGCTTATCACAAGCAGATTACACACTGGAAAAGTTAAGGGAACTCCAACGCCAAGCACAATGGTCTTCGCCATGATCATATTATATTTGAGTTTTGTACTATAAGAATCAAAAAAAAAAGTACCTGTGCAATTCTAACTCTTTAAACCATGTACTTTGATTTGATATATGTGAGAATTAATTTTTTATGATATTTATTTTATTAAATATTATATTATCATAAAATGAGATCAATTTAAAGTTCAAATCATTTTCTGGACGTCTATGTTTGGGTAAGCTTCACCTAAACCATTGAAATTTAATTGAATTTTTGAAAGAAAAAAACGAATTCTTTGAATTCCAATCACCCTAAACCTTTCATACTGTATTTAATTCCTTTTAAAATTCAAATTCATTGAATTTAAAAAATAAAGTACTAATAGGATGCACCGCACACATAATTTTAGTAGATGAGTCTTCCAATGAGAATTTTCTAAATACAACCTCAAACTTGAAATATGCTAAAGCAATATTAAGCTTTTTATCACTTAAACTAATCCTCGCTGGTTAGTATAGGTTCAATTTTGATTGATCTATACTTATAATGTTAATGTTATTTAATTAAAAGATTAATATTTTACTCGAATTAAAAAATTATATGTTCGAAATTGAAGTACAAACCCATATAATTTTAAAAAAGTTCAATACCTAATATCATAAAAAAAAATTTGAGTATCTAATCGACAAAAAAAGAATTGATACCAAATTATTATTATTATTATTATTATTATTATTATTATTATTATTATTATTATTATTATTATTATATAATAAACGGATTAATAGGTTTAAATTGTACAACTGTTGATAAGAAAATATGATACCGAAAACTTAGGGTGACCCTCGCCCAACTTGGAGGCTGAGCAAACGATTTGTATTTTAAATCTGACCTCATTTCATGACAATAATCAGGTCCAACAAAATAAATAACATAAAGATTTTTTTCTGAATTAATCATTTATATTTAATTTATTGACTGATTAGTATAGATCGAATTTTGCAGAAATTCATTTTTGGGACGATATACTCAACTTAATTTGTTTCATTCGCAAATGTCAATATTCAAACATCCAACCTTAATGGATTTACTACCTCATCTCACTAAAACAAGTTTTTTATAATAACATAAAGATTTTGATTCTACCGTATGTTGAGGCATTTGATTTAAAGAATCAGATTTGCTTACATATCGTTAGAGGAGGGCACAAAAAAGGTGCACGGGATATTTGTTCGTTCTGTACATGGAAATTGAAATATAACCCCTCCCTCATACTTGACAACTAAGCTGTTGACCACTGCGATCAAAATCATGATCTGGGTTTCGGTGGCCAGGAAGGGCAATGCTTTCAGCTGCTATTTACTTAAGATATCAAAATCCAACATTGACAGGCAAGTTGGAAGTAAATGAAAGACTAAAAGCTTTAACAACATGGGTAACTCGGTAAATTGCTTGAGATGGAATCTTGAATCCACAGTTAAGTTGAAAAAGAAATTGCAGGAAACTCTCAACTGTTTTATCAGGAAAACAAAAATCCCAGCGGTTCCCCTACTTCGTTGTCCCTATAAACACTCGTAACCAAGTATTAGAAAACGTCTCTTGCTATTTTTTTTACATCAATCCCTCCTACTATATATATCATCGTCATCTGCTCCTCTAAGCACATCAAGCCTGAGCTAAATTTGTTAGCTCGCCTTGTCTCTGGACAGGGTCCTGTCTGCACCAATAATTTTTATACTAGACTAGGACCTTAATTTCATTCCCAAGACCGGCCAACAACAAGATGGCTGTTTCCAGCATAAAAGTTTTAGCTTAATTGGCTTTTTTTGTCCTTTTTTGCAATAATTCCAAGCCTGATAGCTCACATCGCAGAATATGATGATTATTGGAGGGAACGCGAGTTGCGAGTTACCCCCGCCAGAGGAGGCCCCAACCATTACAAAGAGCATGCTGCTAGGTAACAATATAAAACCAATGTTTAATATCTCAAATTATCTTATATATCTTTGTTTTTAAAGTTTTAAATCTTTTATCGCGTGAAGGATCTTAATAGGGCTTAATAATTGCACAAGACGGGATTTGAGGGCAAAGCTGAAGAGGGGCCTTGTCAGGCAACCAACCCCATCGACCATTGTTGGCGTTGTGATCGAAACTGGGAAAGACATATGAAGAGGTTGGCTGCTTGCGTCCTTGGATTTGCTCGTGGTGGTGTTACAGGTGGAAAGCACGGAAGGTATTACGTGGTCACAGATCCTTCAGATGATGATCTTATTGATCCTAAACCCGGAACTATACGTCATGCTGTGATCCAAGAGAGGCCTCTTTGGAAATTTTAAACAAAATTGGTTCTACTCAATGAAAACTTGGATGAAATTCTGAGAGGAGCCAAGTTGCTTATCTTTGAAAATAATAAGATTCTAAAAGGTAATTAAACCATAAAAAAGAGGATTGGGGCTTAATTTCACTAATTTCAAAATTGTCATGTCCTAAAAAGTAATTAAACCAAAAAACTTTAGGAGAGTCCGGACTTAATTTTAATGATTTTTTTTTTAAAAAAAGTTAGTGCTTAAAATACAATTAAACTATAAAAATTAGGGTGGATCATGTTCCCTTCCACACCCACGTGTTTTCGTCACTGAATATACTCCAAACAAGAATATCCCTCACTGTCTTTGTATTGTAATTTAAAAGAAATTAATTTTTTTATAAATATAATATTTTTTAAAAATAAATTTCAAAATTATCATATTTTGACACGTGTCACTTAACGGAGAAAACTAATAGTCATTACGTCTCGGGCACCTAAAGTGGTCACGTTTGTAACGTTAGATACCTAGATGGTCTAACAAAATAATATAGGCACCTAGCAGATGGTCTAACTATAACTTGCAAGTGATTAAAAACTTGCCCTTCAACAAAGTAGAAGCCCGCATCAGGTCCTCCTCCCAGTCAAATACACATATATTCAGGTTGCACATTGCAAGAATACTTTGGACTTCAAATGTTCCTTAAAAATTGAATATTCAAATAAAAAATAATTTTGAGTTCCAGACGATATTATGCCATAACTATCAACTTTTATTTTTATCTGTAAGACCAAATTAATTAAATATGTATATATTCATATCGCGTGTTTTTTTTTTCCTTTCAATATTGTTATTATTTTATAATTAGATTTTAAACTCATCTTGTATAGGTGGGCATAAACAAGGTGCACAGGACTTGGACAAGGAAGCTGACAGCGTATTGACCATTTGGATCTCGGCTTCGGTGGCCAAGAAAGGGCATTGCTGAAAGCAAATCCAGTTAATTTCTTAAGATATTAGAATCCAACATTGACAGGTAAGTTGGAAATAAAAATGTAAGACAAAAAAACTTGAACAACATCGGTAATTCAGTAAATTGGTTGAGATGGAATCTAGCATCAACAGGTAAGTTGAAAAACAAATTCCAGGAAAACAAAAATCCCAGCGGTTCCCCTAATTTGTTGCTCCTACAAACACTCGAAACCAAGTTTTAGAAAACGTCTCTTGCTATTTTTTAATCAACCCCTCTGCTATATATCATCGTCATCTGCTCTTCTAAGCACACCAAGTTTGAGCTCAACTTGTTGGCTCGTCTTGTCTCTGGGAAGGGTCCTGTCTGCAAGCAAGACATTCGTTTTTCTTTTTTTTGCCAGACTAGGACCTTAAAACCATTCTCAATACCGGGCAACAAGAAGATGGCTGTTTGTAGCAATAATAATTGAGAAAATAAACTCAGTGACCAAAAATGCCTTATAATATACGATTTTAATCAACTTTTTTGGATTTGTCAAAATGACCAACTAAATTGCAATGCGATCGATAATTTGCAACGCGATCTCCGGTATCGCAAATCAGTTTCCAGATTCGCAACGCAAACTTCCAAATTCGCAATGCGAACTCCGACTATCGCATTGCGATTTACATATTCGCATTGCGATAGTCCAAGTTCGCATTGCGATAGTCCAAGTTCGCGTTGCGATTTTTCAAATTCGTTGCGATAGTCGAAATTCGTGTTGCGATAGTCCAAAATCGCAACGACTGGTGGTATTGCATTTGTTTCTTAAGAATTTTCTCTAAAAAGATAGTATTCGCGTGGACCACGACCACGACCCGAGACGAGACGAGACGGACTGCGACGGCGACGGCGCACGAGAGTCCCCCTTGTTCTCTATCACTCAACAAGAAAGTGGGAAAGCCAAGCCTTAAATACCATTCCCAATAGTGTTTCCAATACTATGTGGGATTGAGCATTACCAACACTTGTTTCCAATACAATGTGATTATTCAGGAAACAATTAACAATCATGCACCTTAAAACAACTGAATCAGCAACCAATTGCATTAGTATTATACGATTAAATATGTCATAATTAAAAGTCAATCTACAATCAATCGTGATTATTACAATTTTAAGCAAAACATTCAAAAATAATATCACTATTTAAAGCTCAATCCCACATAGTATTGGGAACAAGTGTTGGTAATACTCAATCTCGCATAGTATTGGAAATACTATTGGGAATGGTATTTAAGGCTTGGCTTTCCCACTTCCTTGTTGAGTGATAGAGAACAAGGGGGACTCTCGCGCGCCGTCGCCGCCATCCCGTGGTCGTGGTCGTGGTAATACGTGTCTTCGACACGTCCGCGCGAATACTATCTTTTTAGAGAAAATTCTTAAGAAACAAATGCAATACCGTCGTTGCGATTTTGGACTATCGCAACGAATTTGGAATAAATCGTATCGCAACGAATTTGGAATAAATCGCAACGCGAACTTCGACTATCGCAACGAACTTGGAATAAATTGCAACGCGAACTTGGACTATCGCAACGAATTTGGAATAAATCGCAACGAATTTGGAATAAATCGCAACGCGAACTTCGACTATCGCAATGCGAATATGTAAATCGCAATGCGATACTAATTTGCGATACCGGAGATCGCGTTGCGAATTATCGATCGCATTGCGATTTAGTTGGTCATTTTGACAAATCCAAAAAAAATTGGTTAAAATCGTATATTATAAGGCATTTTTTGTCACTGAGGTTATTTTCTCATCATAATTTTAGCGTACTTGGGTTTGTTTTGTCCTTTGTCTCAATAATTCCAAGCCCGCTAGCTCACATAGCAAAATATGATGATTACTGGAGGGAACGAGAGTTGCAGGCCATAGAAAATCTTGACAAGGCCTATAACCCCCGCCCAGAGGAGGTCACCAACCATTACAACGAGCATGCTGCTAGGTAACAATATAAAACCAATGTTTAGTTTCTCAAATAATCCTATATCTTTATTTTTTAAGTGTTAAATCTTGTATTGCATGAAGGACTTTGATAGGGTTTAATAGCACAAGACGGGATTTGAGGGAAAAGCTGAAGAGGGGGCCCTGTATGGCAACCAACCCCATCGATCAATGCTGGCGATGTAATCAAATGTGGGCAGAAAATAGGAAGAGGTTGGTTGATTGCGCCCTTGGATTTGGCCGTGGTACTACAGGCGGAAAGGATGGAGAGTTCTACGTGGTCACAGATCCTTCAGATGATGATCTTATTAATCCTAAACCTGGAACTCTACGCCATGCTGTGATCCAAGAGAGGCCTCTTTGGATCACCTTCGCACACCCCATTATGATCAAGCTCAAAGAAGAGCTCATTATTTCAACTGGTGACAAAACCATCGATGGTAGGGGAGCCAGGGTGCATATTGCTTATGGGGCTGGTATTACTATCCAGTATACAACGAACATCATCATCCATAACCTTCATATCCACGATATTATACCAGGCAAAGGCGGCATAATCAGGGATTCGGAAAGCCACTTTGGATTGAGAACAGAGAGCGATGGTGATGGGATCTCTCTTTTCGGAGCAAGCAACGTTTGGCTAGACCATCTTTCAATGTATCGATGTTCCGATGGTATCATTGATGCTATTCAGGGTTCCACTGCCATTACTATTTCCAACTGCAATTTTACCGACCACAGTGATGTAAGTAGAACTTTTTTTACGGTTAGATAAAAGAATTAGAACATGGTCAAGTGACAAATTAATTGATATTTGGTGCATGCAGGTGATGTTGTTTGGAGGAAGTGACACATCTGTCCTAGATCATAAGATGCAGATCACTGTTGCTTTGAACATTTTCGGTAAAGGATTGGTAGAGAAGATGCCTAGGTGCCGATTTGGTTTTACTCATGTGGTCAATAATGACTATACCCATTGGCTCATGTATGCCATAGGCGGCAGCAGTCACCCTACAATTATCAGCCAGGGCAACCGATATAAAGCAACATTTAACAGGTTAACAAAGGAGGTGACCGCGAGGATTTCTGCCCCACCGGCAGTGTGGAAGAGTTGGGATTGGATATCAGAGGGTGATGAATTTTTGAATGCTGCCTTTTTCACTCCATCTGGAAACCCAGATGCCGGCAAGAAATTCGGAGCCGATAAAATGATGCCTTTTCAGCCTGGTCATCAGGTGCCCTTACTCACTGTTTATTCTGGAGCACTTGGATGCAAAGCGGGGAAGCCGTGCTAATAGGAAATGGTTAATAGAAAATGCAACCCATCTTTCTTGTTCTCCATCTTTGAAAGGAGATATGAACAGATAATTAGAACATTCCCTAGTTTTAACGTGGCTATGTAAACAGCAGAAGGAATTTCATTTTATTAATTTATATTGTGTTTGACTTCACATAATACTGATACATAATACTGTGTTTGACTTCACATAAGCTTCAAAGTCAAACGTCCAGCCAAACTTTTCTCATTTCTATCGAGTTTTCAGCAAAATTACTCCCTGGCTTCTTATAATTGAAGATTACAATTAGAAGGTTTTGAGTCTTTAGTAGGACAGGTCCTCGCATTATGCCCCTTTTCTCGGCATAATCTGCAGTGTATATTCTACTTGCAGTGGTCGAAACATCCCTAACTCCTATCACTCGAGGACATGTACGACGGTTATGACCGCTTTTGCGACAAATCTTGCAACGGTGACTCCTCCTATCTGAGTTTCCATGATTGTTCAACCTTGACCTTGGGCAAGTTCTTCTGTTATGGCCCTTCTCCCCGCATACTCTACAGTTGAACCGCTTATCTATCGAACTATCTCTAATTTCAGGGCAATAGTGTTTTCTATGCCCTTCACGGCCACAATTTCTGCAGTAAAATTTGACTCCTGCGTCACAAGGAGAAAGAAGATAATATCGTTAATACTAAAATCTTAAAAAAACACTGTCCATACTGCAATGGTTTGCTTAACCAATAAGACAAGCTCCCTATTGCAATCTAAAGTAAGAGGCAACAGCAACAACAATAGATATTTGTACTAAGCTCTCGAGTTAAAGCGCCAATGCTGATGTCTATGCCATCACAAACAAGGTTGCCAAAATCCTATTTCATTGATTATGTTGCAGGTCATTGTTTGGAATCATCAATAATACCAAAAACAAAATATCTGCAACAATGTGAAAAACAAACAGTTCCAGATGTGGAATTCAGAGATAAGAGTTGACTCTGGAGATCCCCTCTTTTCCTCCATATCAATAATTTACAAGTCAAACACATAATATATGAAACAGAAAATGTGAGCAACCTTTCATTGAAATGCTCCTCTTACGGCGGTTCTCTGGATCACTAAAAAACTCTTTCAAAGCTTCAGAAACACGCTTCCTTGCTGCAGCTGTTCCTTTTGCTTTCTGCATTGCGTAAAATATACTAAGCACTTTGCTTCCATGTAAAGTTGCAAGCGCATAGACAAGGTTGCATTCACGTCAACGATTTTGTATATGCTTATACAACCGGAAACTTATACACTCATTGCTAATTGTCAGTTCCATTCAAACCGCTAAAAGTCCTCTTCTAAATGCAGAACATGGAATCCCCAAGCACTCAATGTCGCAATAATTGGCAATCGCATGAAACTTATATACCTTCCCTATTCATTGTTATTAACCAAAGTGGAAAACACATGTGTAAACTTGAAGCCACAAATTTAAAAGCTTTATATTCAAACCTTAATGGCAGCCACCCTTTGAGCTTGGAGCATGGGATCACGGTGGATGATCTTCATCCTTTTACTAAATAGTCCTGTTTTGGCATTAAGACTCTGCAATCATCCAACTAAACAAAGAAGATTAAATTCATGAAAATGTACATTTTTCTCCAAGTTTAAATATATTCAAGACGAATCTTGTAAAACCTATACCATAGAAAGCAATATGCAACTTTTTATGTCTATATAAGCATCTCAGATGACACCGGACGTGACTTTTTTATTTTAAATCAAATGATCTAATAACAGATGAATGAATAAATGGTACACAACATAGGCCTACAATGTTTTGTATAAAAAGAAGCCAAGATTCAAGCATCCGACTAACTTTTAGTGATCGGCTTATCTTCAATCCAACTTCAGGAGATGGTGATTGGTAAACGCGCTTCGATTTTTTCTTCACATCCAGATTCAAATCTAGATTGTCTACCTCATCGTCTTCTTTTACTCTAAGTGGAGACCTGGACAATAGAGGAAAATGAGAATTAGAGAGCAGAGTAAAAAACTCAGATATCCGATGTAACAATGATGATCAAGAAAATTTCAAAAACCTACAGCGCACTATCAAATAACTCAAGCAGATGTTATCTATACTGCAATCAAGTAAAGAACTTGACATTATTCTAGAATTTGACCCCTAAAAAGAAACCAAAGAGGATATGAATTAGTGATTAGACGAAGGAATGGTAAAATATGTCAATATGAAATTGCCTTGGCAATGGGGATGAAGTAGAGCCAGATGACTTATGTGGAACAGATTCTTAAGTAAATGAGAAGGTAGAATAAAGAGATTACGTTGAACGTGCTTTCTCCCACGGTTGCTCATCAATAGACTCTTCCCATATCACACGATCTCCCAAGCAATGACGGCAAGTCATTATACCCTGCCATTACGAGTATTCCCCAAGTAATGAGTGACTATATACGCAATTCCTTCTACTTGTCTGAACGGACACCACCAATTACTTGTAATAACTCACCTCCTCAAGAACATTCAAAGCATGTCATGTTCCTATGTTAATTGAAGGAGCAGATATCAAGTGCGAATGCAATGGCTTTATTCTATTTGGTTATGTCGATATACTATTATTAAAAAGCCTGTAAACTGTACCTTTCCATTACATTGGGAACAATCTGATCTTGATCTTTCAATACCACACTCTGTACATGGAGTATAACCTCTCCCCCTACAACTTGGACAAGGAAGCTCTCTGATGTACTGACCATTTGGACCAAACCATGATCTCGGTTTCGGTACTCCTGGAACGGCATCGCTGAAAGCAAATTCAGTAAATTACTTGAGGTGTCAGTTGTGCAAAACTTGATAGAATCCAACATAGACAGGTGAGTTGGAAATAAATATGAAAGATTACAAAAAAGATTAACAACAATGGTAATTCAGATAAATGCCAAGAACTACGTAGAGCAGAATACACATGTGCATGTAAAGCTACAATTGACTTGATAACATACAAAATCAAGATTCTCTGAGCATCAAAAGTCACAACAGATGACTATCAAATCAAAGAAACAAAACAGGTAACTCAAAGCACGAGAGCATGATCACTAAAACCTTGGTTTTGGATCAGCCGAGAGTCCAAATAGCTCCTCTGAAGGATCATAACCCAACTGTCACCCACAAAAGCAAAAAAAAAAAAAAAAATCCCCCATTAAAAATGGAAAAATCCAACGAGTGTGCTAAGAGAGAGACACAGAACATACTGGGGTTTGTCTAGGCAGCGGAAATGAATCATGATTGGAGGAAGATGAAAACACGCGAGGTTTGAAGCAAAGCTTCGTGTTGGGTTTGAGAATAACCAAAAAGCGTGAGCTTTTGTGCCTCCAATTCCATTGAGGAAGGAGAGGTGGAAAGAAGGGACAAAGTGAAGACATTTACATATGTAAAAATGGGAGTAAGAATGCCGATGAAGAAATCTGTAAGTTAAAACGACTTCTCGGACAGGGAAGCGATGTTGAAGAAGAGTTTGTGGTTGGCAAAAAGAGTTGGTTTGTTGCATTGGATAAGCCTAAGACCGACGTTTGAATGAAACAAAAAATTGTGTTGGGATCAAGATGAATTCAAAACAAATTGAGAGGTTAAAAGCCGAATGTTTTTTATTAAAATTATTTAATTCTGAAAATAACAATAGGATTATTTTATTTGTTTTTTAGTACAATGATCAAACTACGATGTTAAAAATAGGATTTTCGACCCTAATTTCCTCTTTTATTTTTGTGTCCTCGTCAGGTTTTTTTTTTTATAAACGACGATATAAATTTTAATATTAGTTATTAATTATTAGTATTCATTTTTTTTTCTTTTATTATATTATTACTCTCTTGTTTTTTTAATTTTTAATAAATCTACTTTTATGACATATTTTTTTATAACATATTTCTCTTTACTTTTTGGCATATTTTTAACTTTTTGACATATTTTTAGTTGTTTGACTATTATTTTCGTTTATATTTTTTTCAGTATTGAATTTGATATCGTCACAATTGATCAATATACGTTTATTTGTTTTTCATGTTAATCTTCCTGCTTTAGATCCTCGGATTAGATTTAGATATACGATTTATTCGTAGATAATTTTCTCACGTCATTCGATTCTGATTTATAGTTTGTCAGTAGTATTCCATTAGCTTAATCTCTTTTGTGGTTCGTTTATTGATGCAATTAGATTTATTTATATTTACCTTATATTCAAATTTATTTAGTTAAGTTTTAAATATTTTCTTTGTATGATCTAGCAGTTAATTTTTTGTGTTAACAATTATAAAAAATATATTCTTATTATATATTTAATTTATAATTTAAATATTTTTTAATTTTAATAAAACTAACTGTTACTCTCTTGTAAAAAAATATATAATTACCTATTTAGTAAGAAATTATGTGGTACTTTCACCAAATATTTTGTGAGATATTTGGGGGGAAATATCTAAAAGCTTCAGGGCATCTCTTCACTTTGGAGAATATCTCTTCATTGTGGAGATAGTATTTTTTTTTTGTAATTTTTTGATTTTTTTAAATTCAAGTAGATTAAATTGTAATATAGATAAAAATACATTGAAATTAGATAAATAAACATACTAATTTTCTTTGTAATTTTTTTGATTTTTTATTTAAATTCAAGTAGATTAAATTGCAAGATAAATAAAAATACATTGAAATTAGATAAACAAGCATACTAATTTAATTTACTTTACTTTTTTTAAATTAGATTAAATTACATGATAAATAAAAATATATTGAAATTAAATAAATAAACATACTAAATTACATGTATTTTCGTAATATATATTTTATTTTATATTTAAAAAATTAATATTATAATAATTAAATATTATAAATAAAGTAAGTTGATGATAATGTAAAAATAATACTGAAGATAAATTATTATTTTATTTTTATAATAGAGATAAAAATATGGTAGAGTAAAATGAGTGCTGTAGTAATTAAAAAAAAAACAGTAGTTAAAAACATAGCTGGGACGAGATTAAAAAAGAAAATGTTGCAACTTCAATTCTTATCATCTCCTCCGCTCTCAGCGCAAACTTTAAGCTTCAATGCCATTTCCAACCCCAAGCTTTCCCTTGTTTCTCTTCTCTCGAGTCCACTCAAAACCACGCCTTTAAATTCAATACCCTTCCAAAATCTCCAAGTTTTTTTCTCAAATGTCGGCAATCTGAATACTTAGATATAACTCTTCGTCTACTTCGCCACCGCCATCCTCATGTTTAAAGAAAATAGTGTGTTTTAAGCTTTTTTATTAGTGTTTAAAGTGTTTTATTTGACAGCAGGGTCGCCGCGTAGGTCCTATGTGAGTCATTCGATTTACAAAGGGAAGGCTGCTCTTACTGTGGAGCCTAGGGCCCCTGACTTTATGCCTTTAGCTGTATGTTTCATTCGAAGTTTTTCCTTTTTAGTTTATTTTTAAAATTTCTGTAACTGTAGTTGTTGTTGGAAATGCTGCAAGTTTTGATGGCGTTCCTTTGTTTTATATCGTTGTATGTTTTTCTTTACAGTCGGGCTTTTAAAATATCCAGGGAAGGATGTGTGCTGCTACAGTTTGCACCTGCAGCTGGTATAGACTTGGGGCAGGAAGCAGGTGAACTTTGGCTAAATTAGCTTTCAGTTTAATGTTTTTGATAAATTAACTTGAACATTTTAGATATTAGGATGGAACAAAGGAATTTTTTGTTCCCAAATCTTGTTTATAACTCTTTAAAGATTTGCATGTGTGGTCTCCACATAATCATTCAGATGTTTACTATAAATCAAATGTAGAATCTTTGTGGTGAAGGACGAATACATACTAGAAACATGATATACATCATACATCCATTGATGGTTTGCTTCTCTCCAGGTGTTCTCATTATCAGTTACAGAACTTGGAACTCTGATTAGCCTTGGCACAAAGGAATCATGTGAATTTTTCCATGATCCTTTAAAAGGAAAAGGTAAAATCCTCTCCGTTCCCCCATCCATCTGCCCGCAAGGCCGCAAACATCCCTCTCTCTATTGAATGCTAAAGTTGGTAATTGAAGTATTCCTGTCAACTGCTTAAATATTTTGCATCTCCAGGCCCATTTCAGCTTTGTGGTTTCTCATACGTTCATGTGCTACATGAAAAGTAGATGTTTATTGAGGATGGATGATTCCATAAGGCAAGCAATAGATTTTTTTTTACCGTGTGAAGATTTTTCTTCAATAGGGGGAGGAATGTTTCTACACGCAGGATACAATGTTTGTCTGAGGTCCTGTGGACAAATGCCTTAAGTAAGTTGAAGCCTAGAAATGCTTCTAATTCGTTATTTCTATTAATCGTGAAAATAAATACTTTTTTGGTTGGAGGAAGCAACAGCCATAGTTATTGGTAACTGTTAGTGATACGCCTGTAAATATTGAGTTACTTCCTGTACTTCTCAGCAGTAAATTTAGTTTAGATTATATTTATAGTGAAATATATTCAGCAGAAAAGGCACTATTTCTTTTAATTGAGATGAATTCTAATGACATTGTGTGAAGGCTAGGAAGGTCTTGAAGGTAGAGCCACTCCCTCATGGGTCTGGTCACTTTTTTAACATTGGTAATGTTCACTTCCCTTGAATCCTTTCCAGGAATTAAAATTCATCCATACATTACTTGTAGATCCTTTTCAGTTTTAGGTTTGATGCATTTATAACTCTAGCCCTAGGATGTCTGGTTTGGTTATAGAGTCTTCTCATTGTAGTATGATGCCAATGATCTGCTACTGGAATTTGTGTTCATGCTGTTGGTGGATCAAACACACTATGATCTTCTAACCAGAACTCATTTATTGGTAAAGATTTGTATGAGTCTAAAATACAATCGGTTAATATAAGACTAAAAAACAGCATAAATCGGTTGTAACCGAAAAACTTATCAAGAGCGTAACTCAAGTAATTTGGCAACATTTTATGTTGAAACTAAAAATATGACATGCTCCTCATGTAAACTATATAATTATATGGTTGCAACCTAAAAAGTTACCGTCAAAATATTCTTGATTATTACCGAAATTATTATCAATTGTGTACGTTTCAAAGTAGACTTAATAATTTAGGTTAAAATCTACCACAATGTAACATTCTTGATTTTAACCGAAATTATTACCAGTCGTATAAGTTTTTAGGTTTGACAAGATAAATTTTAAGCAAAATCACCAAAGATTTGACACATATTTATACACCCCCAACACCCTATTTTTTCTCTTTTTCATGTCATGCTTTGTGTGATTATAATCAATCTGTGACAGATTTAGGCCTAACATTTCTAATGGCTTTTGTTGAAGGTGTTCAAAACAAACGTCTAAACATGGACAAAACTATTTATATTCCTATCGCGCGAGCTGAGTTCACTGTCCTCAAATCAGCATTCAGCGTATGATAAACCTCTCTTTTTTTTCATCTTTCTAGCCTTTTTTTTTTATCTATGGTGTTAGGATGTATCAGAAAATTATGGTCGAGAGTAAATGCCATGTCGGGGATTAGGTTCTCTCTTTTTTCGCTTTTATCTTGGGCAAAAAATGCCGACTAGCACAGCAGCATACATAAATTCATAAGGGTCGACATGTTTGAATGAGAACTGTTTGGAATGAAACCTTTGGACATGATCGGTGATTGAAAATGTTGTTTTCCTCTGCCGTATCTTATAGGATGGAATGCCTTTGCGAATTCAACCAAACCGGATAAGACAAGTCGTGTGAATAATGCCAATCCAAGAAGGTAGTTAAAAAATTGTCATAGATGACATTTCTAGTTTGCCTAATGATTTTTCCAAAATATTCAGAGCCGGCTTGTGTTTTAAACTGATGCTAGCGATTCAAGTAGTTTTAAAAGGTTTGCTGTTTATTTCCTAAATTTTACTGCCTTTAAATGGTGCAAAGTTAATCTGGACTGTGTAAATATCGGATATGTCCATTGCAGACTAGCATTCTGATGATGATGAACAATTTTGACAGGAACATCCATGAGCAACCATGTATGAGGTTTGCTGTTTCTTACTTTGCAAGTCATGGTAAACGGTTTGGGCCATATATTGCACGTCCCTGATTTTTTACAAATATATGCTGTAAGCTACATTTTAATCAATGAATACAAGTAACGTGAACTATAGGAATCAATCAAAATGCAAAAGCAAACTGAAAAACTAAGTTTTCCCCATCCAAAGTTTGGTTTATATTCTCAGACACGGCAAGGCATCAACTGTCTTTACCCACGCCAGACTCTACCCAACTTTCAGTGTCTGCAGAAAGACGTTTGATTACATTATTTATAGGCATATGTAATTTCTCTCAATTGCCACACTGCAAGATGACGGCTTCAACACCTAGCTGAAATGCTCCTGAAAATTATCAATCAAAATGCATCAAATGTCCCATAGTTGCTTCACATCATGCATCATTTTCCTTATTGAAGCTTACAACTAAAAACAAAGGCTTAAAACTGAAAATGCCATTATGACATGATCGGATTTAGATAAAAACATTGCCCTACAAACAAGTTCTGGATTTGGCTCAATAGGTTAAACTTAGATGAACTGATTATACAAAACTTAACACCGTGTTTGGATAAACAATTATTAAAAAAAATTAAGGAAATGATGCATGAGCATTTGTTTGAATAATAATAAAATATAGATATTCAAACAAGGGCAAGATACTTTTCTTTTCCCTTATTTATTCAAACATAGGGTAAGGGTTTAAAAAAATTATGAATCAAACCTCTGCAGGCTTCTCGGCTCTTCGTCAAAATTATCAATAGCATCGCTTCCTGAATCCTTCTTACTTCCAGATAAAATATCTACAACATCTTTCAGACCCTGAAATAAACATGTCAATGTTTATTAATATATAGGCATTACAATTAATAAACTAAATAAATGAAAGTTTACAGCTCAATAAACACAAGATTTGTGGACAGATCCGTGAAATTTAGGCTACCACATACAAAAAATATTGATACCTCCGTCAGTGCACACTTCATTTTACCGGAACATATTTCTTTAGCCTTTTACCACAACAGATTTAAGTACATGCATCGGTGCATGTGCATGTTCATTTTCCTAGAGAAAATGCGATTTTTGAACTCTATAGATACAGAAAGATACCTTCGGAGTCGGAGTTCCTGATGTAAGCAAAGCACGAGATTTACCAGAAAGTTTAAGTTGCTCCTACAAGAAAATGTAAAATCAGAAGAGATTACTTTAGTGCAGAAACACATCATATAATCTTTTAGAGACAAACAGGGATTTGGCACTGGGTTTTGAAAGAAGAAATTATCCGTTAAGGAAAGCCAAATGGAAATAACAATGACAAGCTTCACCCCTTCCCATATTTTTCCCTTTTAAATAGGATCAATTATGGACTGAATGGCATCGTATTCTAAACACAAAGATAAAAAGAAAACATTCATCTTTCCACTAGTACCAACCTGCAGAGCTTCAGGCATGCTTGCTTTCTTGCCACCAACATATTACAAAGGTACCACACACCAGCATTGGCAAGATCCTACCACACAAAAAACTGCGTAGGTAAATCATGTTTAATTAACCAATAAAGACACATGCATAGACAAAAGAAAAAGGAAAGTATAAGAAACTAAATACCATATCCCTTTTCAGGAAAAAGCAGAAATACTGAATTCAAATATTCAAAAATATAAATAAAAGTTACGACTACACAAGGTGCATGTTCCTACCATAATTACATATTTGACTTCCATATCGTGAAGTGCAAGAAATGTTGAATGAGAAATAAAAAAGTGAAATACAAAAAAGGTAAAAATCTATTTACCTGCTTATATTCCAATGAACCAATTTTGCCATCCTGCAAGAGGGCAAATTTGGGGGGGGGGGAATAAGCAAAACAAATCAGATACATGTACATGAATAGATAAAATTTGAAGTCTCATCACTGCCTGTATGAGATTAACCAAGAAGAGGAGATAAAAGACGCGAAAAGGATAATGCTCCTCTTCTGTCTTACAACAAGAACCACCTGACTTTTTAACAAATAACAAGTTCAACATTTTCAGAAGAGGTGTTGAAATTGAAAAGGAGAAAGAGACAAAACCATTGTAGCTCCATTTAAAAAGTGCAACAATTACTAGAAGCAAAAAAGAAAAAGAGTTCTCACCAAACCAGAAATCATTCTCTGCAGTGCATCCAAGTCATATTCAATGTTAGAAAGATTCATACTAGCATCTTCCACCTGTTCCAAAAATATGAGCAGCATTAGGGAATGTAACACATTAATTCACTTGATCTATTGGTGTTATATATATGACCCGAAAAACAAGTACATTAATCCAAAGATCAGAACCAAAAAATGATAAAAAGCATCATACACCTAATAAAATTTTGGGACGCACTTATTATCTTTGACATCATAAAAAATTAATCTCCACAATTGGAAGCATTTGAAACAATCACGTATAATTTATTAACCTGTTGAACTCTTTTAACTACTTTCTTAGAACTAAAAAACATAAGAATCCAAGAACAGACAAGGGAGGCAGATGATGGGGAAAGTGAGCTTTATTGAATAAGGTGGCGTAGCCAATGCTACTCTGACTTCAAAGATGAAAAAATATGTGCACTTACACTTGCTTGAATGCTCTTTGAGATTTCCTTTTGTGTTTCCATTTTATCATCCAGGTTCTGAATACGTTGTGTCAAATGCTTCTTTGCAGCCTGTTCACATAGGATTTGTAAACCAGTCAGAAGCTCTATGCATATTTCATAGCATGCCATTTTAATACAAAACCTGATTTCAAAACTAATTAGGACAATGCACACCGGAAGCTGCATATTCCTTGAGAAAATTTGGAACAAATAATAAATTCAGTGAACATACACAAAAGAGAAGAACCACTGGAAGAGTAAGTAAAAATGATTTTTTTTTACTTTTAGAAAATCTATGAAACTATGCCCAAAGTTTTTTGGTCTCTACTAGATCTCACCAAATATGGAATTAGTTAAGGCAATTTTCCATTTACACGGATTGCAATTACTTACTCCAGTCAAATCCTTTTTAATGAAATAAATAAACTTCAAGGCAAGTAATACATTTTGGTTAGCAGAAAACTGCTTCAGTGAAGCATTAAATCCAAAACTGTGGTAAGAAAAGGCAATGAGAGAGCATAAACTTACAGCGAGAGCATCTGAGACGGAATCCAGATGTTTCGTTAAGTTCTCCACAGCCATCGCCATATTACGTCGAGTGACCCAGAAAAGATCAGAGAATGAAATGCCCTAGTAATTAGGGGGGTAAAGAAGCGAGCAAATTAGTCAAATTACAAAGCATGCATCAGTAATGAAGATAAATACAGCTAATCTTAGAAAAAGTTAATATCAAAATGCAAAAGCATCTATTTTATTTTCCTTGAAAAACATTATGGATGTGGATGCAAAAAAACAAATCAAAAGGGACAAGGCAGACATTGGGGGACTTTATTTTGTATAACACAACTAATTCTACATAGCAACGAAAGAGTAAAAAAGAAACTGTATCACAAAAATAATTAAATCATGACAAACAGGGCAGGCACCAGGGGGATTTATTTTGTACAAAAAAGATGGTTAGTTCTACATTGTACAGCAGAGACCATATCAGTAATCAATTAAATCATGACATACCTTCCACCACATGTAACCATAGCCCAATGCCCCCAATGTAGCAGCTGGTATAATAACAGGGGTTAACTTTCCTGCCAAATCAACAAAAAGCAAACAAACAAATCACATCCACTTGGAAAATGCTTCGTCTAAGCTTGCTAATACAACCACAAACTGATTAAACATATACGCATCTAAGCAACCAAATATAATTAAGAAAATACCGCCGGAATCCCCATTCAGAACAGTTATCTGCCTTGCTGAGGCCAATTGCCTGATCTCCGTTGACAAACGACGCACCTATAAATTAATACAAAAATTCAATATTACAACAAAAAGAGTTAAACTATATTTTATCATATACCTGAGCCAGAAGGGCATCTGAATCATCAGCTTGCTCTCCAGATTTTTCCAGTCCCTTCACCAGTGACTGCGAAACCACCACGAAAAAAAACTAAAAGCTATAATTTATAGACAAAGAATAAAGATGTCAATCATATGAAATTTCAGAGGACAAAATTTCAATATGACGGCAGCGAGAAAGGAAAATCGAAATAAACAAAAACGAGTAAGACTAACCTGCAATTCACCCAGAATATCCGACAATTTACCGTTTTTGAGGAGGATCGTACCGGTGTAACCTGAAGAGAAAATTAACGATACGGAAAAAGTGAAAATCAAAACAGTAAGAATACAAGAATGATCGAAGTAAGAAAGCGAGTCGGAGCGGTACCTGCGCCGGCTAATATCAAGATCTTCGAAAAGCCTACTCCGGTTTGCATAGCCATGGCAGTGTTCCCGAAAGATTACCAAATCGAGCTGTTTTTTTCAATCTATTCCCGATATTAGGTGAGGACTAACAGCGCCGTTTGGGTTAGATAATGCAGTATTGGGCCTTGTTAAGATCTGGGCTTTTAAAGCTTAGACTAAAACAAATCCAACAAACTATACACGACCATGAGCTCTAATAATACTAATAAGAGTTGGATTTATCCAGTTTTGTCTAATCGAATAATAATAATGTAATTGATGTTTTTTTAGGTAAGACTATAATTTTAAATTTGTGAATGAAACAATAGCATTACTAAAATTTAGTTAATAAAGCTGTTTCTTGTCTTCTTCTTCTTCTTCTACGAAATTTTAGGTTCAAAGCCTATGTTATTTTTATACGTATTCCTAGCACTATATATATAATTGAAGCGAGACCAAGTCATCAGTCCAACCACAAAAAATGGAGCCTAAATTGGATATCATATGGTGCATATAGTATTATGAGAGAGGTTCATGGAGTGGTTTCAGTTCAGCCAAGTTCAAATAGGGATCAAGGTTTGATTTGATTACCAAAATTATATTGAAGTTGAACGAATCATTTATTTATTAAATGAAATATAAACCGGATTCATCTAATACAAATTAAAATAAAATTATATTTTAATCTAATCGAGTAAAATAAAAATATTTTGTAATTTTATTTCACCAACCAAGCATTCCCAAAATATCATGGGTCAAAGAACATCCAGAAGACCAGGATTTTTGGGCTGCGCTTTTATAGTCAATGGACTGCAACACCTTGACTCTGACACACCCTTTAAATTACTCTTCATCTTCTCGCTTTCAATTTGTAAGCGAGATTAGCAAATCCAATAAATGATGCCATCTTTACGGAAATTGAACTTTCTATAATTAATCAATGTGCTTTCATTTGTTGCTGGTTTAAGTCTTGCCCATCTTTCTAATTAATTCACCGGGAAACCGGACGGATTAACGAATCAAAATCTTTTATTACCTTTTCCATTTAGGTCGACAGCTATTACATTAGTTTAATTTTGATCGAACTTCATATACTACGCAACGAGTTTAGCCTTTCTATTTATATTACGCGGGGGGGGGGGGGATCCCTAGTTGGGTTCTCCAAATATGTATATTTATATAAAGTTTATGCATCAAGAATTGGTTGAAAACTTGTATTATATGAAAATAAAGGTATTGATGACAGCGAGAAATGCTCCAATATGTTAATCAACTTGGTTTAAGATCCATAATTCATTTATATAATTACAGTAGGAAAGAGAAAGAAAATTCACAGTTTCCAATCACTTAAATCAGCATCCATTGACTTCATTTTTATGATAATAACAACATGGTTTAAATTAATAAGAATTTCTACCAAGTGCTAAAGCGTAGCCTTTTGGGTTGTTTGATATTTTATTTGATTTAAATTTTATTTTCTTCATTCATAAATTTATAGACCTTTGAAAATATTGTTAAGTAATTACGTGATATTGACATTTTTTTAAAGAAAATCAAATGTTGGTCCGACCATGACTTTATGTATAAAAGAAATATTTATACGGCTGCTAAAAAATAAAAATTAATGAGATCAAAGTTTTCATTAAAGACAAATTCTCCTCAAGTATCCATTGACTAAAAAGGGCTATCTTATCCTGTTGGAAAGAATACTTGTTTAGTTTTACAATTTTTTTTCTGTGACCGTCATCAATCTAATTAGTCATATTAATACCTATTATTTGATTGATTATCGCTTTCAAAACCGTTATTAATTTATTACTCAAGCTCCAGAAATGAAATGGTCCTTATTGACATACAAAAACAATTGAGTCGCCTAGAATATGATAGTAATTAAATCTTAAATGTTCATTCGATTACTTAATCAAATTATCAAATTAAAAATTTATCATATACAATTTTAATTTCGTATCAAAAAATCTTACATGACTTTAAATTTTATTTTATATAATATCAATATCATGATTTTTTTGGTAAATTACAAATTTCATAACTAAATTTTACTCTCTCTCTTATTTCATTCATTGTACTTTAAATCTTTTCAATTTTCTCACTAAATTTAATACACTGGGTTTTTTTTGTCACTAAACCATTTTCTCACTAACGGCGTTATATAGATGTAAAACGACGTTGTTTGGTAATTTTTTTTCTTTTTAATGTAGTTAACTATCTAATGGCGGAGGACTAAGAAAGCCCAATGTATTAAGTTTAGTGAAGAAATTAAAAACTTTTAAAGTTCAATGAGTAAAGTATGAGAAAAAGTAAAGTTGAATCATATATATCTCAGTGGGTCAGGGATTGTTTTAGGAAAGACGGACTAATATACGACTAATATACGGCGTTACCGGATACATTATAATATATTTAACAAATTCGGTTTAGCGCTATCGGAAATGTTGAGTAATAATAATGTAGTAGGTCTAAATCATGAAGAAATATTAAAAAATTTGGCAACCAGCAAACTTAGCTCGTCGGTTTGTGTCGATACAAATGAAAAATGTATCGATCTATAACAATATAACAGGTAAAAATATGATAAAACCGGTCTCAAAATGACAAAACCGGTAAAACGCTACCGATATGTTGAAAGTGTCGATAATTTAATATAAGTATCGACACTTTCTGAATTTAAAAGAGAAGAAGTTATAGCGCCTAAAAAGTGTCGAAACTTTATGAAAATGTATCGATCCATAACAATATAACAGCTAAAATTATGACAAAACCGCTCTCAAAATGACAAAACAGGTAAATAACTACTGGATATGTTGAAAGTGTCGATACTTTAATATAATTATCGACACTTTTGAATTTAAAAGAGAAGAAGTTATAGCGCCTATAAAGTGACGCTACTTTAAAAAATGTATCGATCCATAACAATATAACAGGTAAAAATATGATAAAACCGGTCTCAAAATGACAAAAACGGTAAAACGCTACCGGATATGTTGAAAGTGTCGATAATTTATATAAGTATCGACCCTTTCTGAATTTAAAAGAAAAGAAGTTATAGCGCCTAAAAAGTGTCGACACTTTATGAAAATGTATCGATCCATAACAATATAACAGCTAAAAATATGACAAAATCGGTCTCAAAATGACAAAACAGATAAATAACTATCAGATATGTTGAAAGTGTCGATATTTTAATATAATTATCATCACTTTTGGAATTTAAAAGAGAAGAAGTTATAACGCCTATAAAGTGTCAATACTTTTAAAAAATGTATCGATCTATAACAATATAACATGTAAAAATATGACAAAAAAGGTCTAAAAATGACAAAACCGGTAAAAAGATATCGGATATGTTGAAAGTGTCGATAATTTAATATAAGTATCGACACTTTTGGAATTTAAAAGAGAAGAAGTTATGCGCCTAAAAAATGTCGACACTTTATGAAAATGTATCGATCCATAACAATATAACAGCTAAAAATATGACAAAATCGGTCTCAAAATGACAAAAAGTAAATAACTACCGGATATGTTGAAAGTGTCGATACTTTAATATAAGTATCGACATTTTTGGAATTTAAAAGAGAAGAAGTTATAGCGCCTATATAGTGTCGATACTTTAAAAAAATGTATCGATCTATAACAATATAACAGGTAAAATATGATAAAAACTGGTCTCAAAATGACAAAACTGGTAAAACGCTACCGGATATGTTGAAAGTGTCGATACTTTAATAAGTATGTGTAATAAATTATCGATACTTTCAAAGAAATAAGTAAATATCCTATTGAAAGTTTCACACTTGACATAAAAGTATCGACACTTAGGTAGTTGTATCGATTAAATATAAATAACATATCCGTGTAAATATAAAGACATAGCTAAATTTCCTCTGAAAATATATAGAGTTTTTGAAATCGAAACGTAATTGTTGTTGCATTTCAGAAGGCGTTTCTACGGTGAAGTTTTGTTTGTTTGTTGTTGCAGTCGAATCGAAAGGTATGTTGTTGAAACCCTAGTTTTTTATTATTACAATAATTGGAAATATGGTTTTTATGTGTTGTTGTTTGGGGTTTTCGAAGTAAAGAAGCATTTGGGACCGATATCGATACTTTTATTTAATATTATATGTAAAAAATGATATTATAGGTAAAAAATGATATTATAGGTAGAAAATGATATTTTAGGTTGTATAAATATGCCGACACTTGTTGTAGTGGTCATTCAAATTCTTTTGAAGACCAACCGTTTTACCACAAAGAGTGGCTATTGATTTTTGTATATTGAATAAAGTGTATGTAAGTAGTATTTGATTTGATTTGCGCAAACTGATATATGAAGGACAAATTAAGTCAATGGGTGGAAAGCAACCAAAGGGTGAATATATGTACTTCTAGTAAGTATCAATGTCTTTTTTTATTATTGTTGAAATGGTAATTGGATTAAAGTATTTAAGAACTCTAAATTGATTACAAATTTTAAATGTTGACAGTATAGCCGAATGCAAAAGGATGAAAGAAAATGGCACACACAGCGTTCGATATGTAAAATGAAATTGACATTGAGTATTATTTAGTGTTAATGTATTGATTAAGAAACGTTGCTTAATATTAGGTGACAGAAGATGTGAGGTCGAAATGGAATTCGATGAGTGATGCTGAAAAGGAACTTTACATCACACAGTCAAGGAATGATAGTAAAGAATACAAAGAACGGATGAAAGCACATGAAAAGAAGGTATTCATTAAACTTGTAAATACGTTGATACAAGATATATAAGAACAATAACATTATATATTGTTAAAAAATGTAAGAAGTGTCGACAAGGTGCAACATAAAAAAGGTGAATTCATTAATTGAACACCTTAAAGAGAATGATCAGTTGAATGTGCTGAGGGAAATGGGTTTAGATCGTTGATAGGAGTAGGGGATCGACCAATTCGGAGGGAATTGTATCGATCTTGATGGAGCAATTTGATGTCAAATAATGTATTGCTAAATATGGTGATTATTCATTCCCTCTGGGGGTATCGACTGCTGCAGCCGTCTTGGGGGTATAAAACAAAGGC